TATATAGAAGTATATGGACCCGGACCCGGACGCGACCGACACTCATCGGGTATACCCGATACAAGTCCGGGTATTGGTCCAAGTTTTGGACTCGCAGGTAGGGTCCAGATCTAATAAAGGATACCAGAATAGTCTCAAGTTCAGGTACGAGTCCTACTGTACCCGACTCAGTGGGTACCTAGACCCGAATTTTTAGTTTACCCAAAAGCCAAAGCCCCAATCCTAAAATTGTTTCAATAATTTTTGTCTTCCCCTAGTTCCCCAAATGGCCAAAGCCCATTACCATCCTCCCTCTCTACAATTCTCCCTATCTCAATTTCTTGGAGACATAGCTCTCTCTCTGGATTATCGAATGTCTCTCTCTCTCGAATTGCCCACCCCTCAAAAATCAGTTCTCTATTGTTCACCATTGTAAGCTACAAAAAAGGAGACTCATAGTAAGGGTGACAATAGACCTGATCAGATCTGGGACCCGAAGGGTACGGGTATGGGTCCAACTTTTAGACCTGACGAGTCGGGTCCGGGTCCAAAACCTAGATCCAAATACATTTGGGTCTGGATCTAGGTCCCGGTCCAGCCGGACTTAACCCTTTGCCACCCCTAGTTGCAGTTTATATAAGGAGGCAACCTTGCTGGTAAAAATAAGGTCGCAGTGTTCAACATTGTCTATTTTAATTGGACAATATAGATTTTTTTTTTTTTTGGGTAAATAGGACTGCATAGATTTGATTTCTTTTAACACGTTCAAAAAGTGGTATGTTTTTAAAGACAATATCTCTTTTAAGACAGTGTCAAATCTAGACTGTTCAAATAAATTATAAGGTACAAATTCTTGTAACCTTACTTTTGCAAGTAAAGTTGCAACTTATTTAAACTTTTTTTAGGAAGATTAGAGAAAAATTTGAGGAGAAAAAGAGCCATGGAGAAGATACAGAGTCAAACTCATATTTATTTTCTTTTAATAAAAGGGTGTGATTTATATAAGGTAACGACCTTACTAGTAGAAGTAAGGTTGTGATATTTTACACCCTCTATTTTATTTGAAATGATGTAGATTTACTATATCTTTTTTAAATAATTTCAAAAAGTGGCGAATTATTTAAGAAAGTGCAAAATCTATAGTGTCCAAATAAAATAATGGTGCATTAAGTAAAACTACAACCGTGAATAAACTTAGAAAAAAAATTGATAGGGTTGAAAAGCCTATCAAGATAAGTACAATCTCACCTCAAAACTCATTGAAAAGTATAGTTTTGGTGTTAAAAAACCTTTAAATCCATCATCTCGATCTTGACCATTGATGTGAAAAAAATTAGGATTTCAAACCCTAAAAATAATGTCTATTGTAACATATTATCTAGACCATTCATTTTCACCCTTACATTCATTTTTGCCCTTAAACTAAGTGTTCAATGATCTACAAGTTCCGTACTATTTTTTTATCTTTAAATTTCATAGTATGTGTTGGAGCCATCATCAAGATTTCCGATGTCCAAAGTGCTTTCTGGACAAAGATTCAGGGTGAGGCATTACTTGTTTTCATAGAGACTAGGCCTTATAAAAATTGCATCCATATTTTTTTTCCTTAATAGCATAGAATAGTTTATATAAGGTGTTAACTTTATACGGTAGACGTAACGTGCACCTCAAAAATCCACTTGAAAAGGTTGCTCTAATAACGGAAAGTGCTACAATTGATCCGCTTGACCTTGAGATATATGAATATGAGGAAAAAAATAAAAATAAAAAAGATTTCAACTCCTAAAAAGGTGTAACTTATTATCTCAATAGTCTTTTTCAATAAATTTAAATATTTTTAGATATGTTTGATCTATACCATTTTTAAAGCTTTATATGTCTTAATTTGAGGGTAATAATATATTTTTTAAACCATAGAAAAGATTTATGGTACCAGAATAACACCTTTCAGCAAGATTTTGAGGTGCGGCTATTTTGATTATTTAAAGTTGACAACTTATACAAACTACACCTCAACCGCAATAAATAAAAAAGGTTATGGGTCCAAAATAATTGAATATAATTGTCTTGAAACTTATTTCACATGATTTAATGTTATTGTTTAGAAAAAGAAAAGGCAAGGGACGAAGAAGATAAATTTTCCATCTTTGTTTATTCTTGGTGGGCGAGAATCACCAATTTAGGCAGAAGAGCATTCTTAATATTAAATCATAAAATACCATGTTTGAATTGATATATTCCATTTAATTACGAATTTATGATAGACTTTCGTTAGCGTCAATTATGTAGTAATTAACCTGAGATATTTGCAATACCTGTTGGAAAAACAAATGAGAAAAAAACACTTACAAAAATAATTTCAAAATTTTTTATTTAAATATTTTGATTATTTAAAGTTGACACCTTATACAAACTACACCTCAACCGCAATAAATAAAAAAGGTTATGGGTCAAAAAGTAATTGAATATAATTGTCTTGAAACTTATTTCACATGATTTAATGTTATTGTTTAGAAAAAGAAAAGGCAATGGACGAAGAAGATAAATTTTCCAGCTTTGTTTATTCTTAGTGGGCGAGAATCACCAACTTAGGCAGAAGAGCATTCTTAATATTAAATCATAAAATACCATCTTTGTATTGATATATTCCATTTAATTACGAATTTATGATAGACTTTCTTTGGCGTCAATTATGTAGTAATTAACCTGAGCTATTTGCAATACCTGTTGGAAAAACAAATGAGAAAAAAACGCTTACAAAAATAATTTCTAAATTTTTTATTTAAATATCAAAAACCCCTTAGTCATCATCAAAGTTGACTGAGTGACAAATAGGTTCCTTGGGCCAAATTATAGAATATTTTTCTAAGATTTTTGTAGTTTGAAAAATAGGTCCAAGGGTGCGGTTTGTATAGAGCCGAGGCTCTAAACAGTCAAACTAAAGCGCACCTTTAAATAGAGTCGAGAAATGTGGTTTCAATATTGAAAGTCTTTGTGATAGCCTTAAAATATAATTTCATCCTTAATTACAAATTTCAAAGATTAAAAAAGTGTAGGTCAAACAGATAAAAATCTTAAAAATTGACGGTCCAAAAATACGTTACAAGATACACTATTTTCAAAACTTGAAATCTTTTTCATGCATCTTTATGTCGAGATGCTCAATTTAATGATATTTGGGCATCAAAACTTCTTCTAGTGAATTTTTTTGAAGTATGCTCTAATTTGATTGTTTAAATCCTTAACTCTATAAAAACTTTTTCCTTGGAGAAATAATGAGGTATTTTATATTTATCTCTATAATATTTTTCAAGATTTTATAGTTTGAAAAATCTTTCCCAATTAAAGAAAATCCAAGTTACTTTATCTTTTTTGTTTTTTTGAAAATGTTCCATAAGTTTATTGATCAAATAGAATTACAATGCAGTTACATTAATAACACATCCGAAATGATCAGGTCTTGCAACAAACCTGCTTTCTTAGCCAAGGCATCAGCCATCTCATTCCCTTCTCTATAAACATGTTGGAAGGTAGCGATCACATCACAACTCAAATCCATAGGGGTAGTAAATCTTCTATCTTTTTTGTTTAATGTTTTTAAAAGGTTCTTATTTTGATTAAGTAGTAAAGAATTTTTTTATTAACAAAAAATTTCAAAATAGTGTTGCTGATGCTTTGGCTAAACTAGCTTCTTCCTAATTCTCCCTTACTTTTTTTCTATCTCTCTCCGAGAAAGGTTTCTAAGCTTCCCCTACTGCATAAAAAATTTATGCTTCCCCTACCATCCAGCCGTCCAATTTTGATCAAGAGAGTCACTCACCATTTAATCTTAGATCCTACATCTCAAAGTATTTTATTTTTAGTTGTTTTTATACAAATTGTATGAATATGAAATTTCATACGTGTCATTTTCTCGTTGGGGCGCACCTATAAAAAATATTAAAAATAAATTTTTGATAAAATATAATGACCAAAATACCCCTTGAAGGTTTTAGCGGTATTTTGGTTACTTTATTTTATTGAAAATATTTTTTTATATATTTTTCTCTAGTGCGAGTTTAATAGAGGATTGGACTTAAAAAATTTTGGTATTAAAATAGTTTGGAGAAAAAAATTAAAAGTAAAATAATGTAGAGACGTGACATTGTGATTGAGGCAATCTTAGCCCTTCATTCATAATGGACGGTTGGATAAGGGAAAATATATAAGTTTTATGCCCTCTCTCTCTCTCCTGCCACTCTTCTTTTTTTTTCGTTAACCTATGTAATTTCTCATGGGCAACCTTTCTATGCTTCCCCTACAACATAAAACTTATATATTTCCCCTTATTTAATCGTTCATTATGAATGGAGGGCTAAGATTGCCTCAATCACAATGTCATGTGTCCATACTATTTTATTTTTATTTTTATTTTTTTCTATAAACTATTTTGACATCAAATTTTAGACATCCAATCCTCTATTAAACTCGTACTAGCTAAAAATATTTAAAAAATATTTTCAATAAAATTAAATGACCAAAATACTTTTGAAAGTTTCAAGGGGTATTTTGGTTATTATAATTTATCTAAAAATTATTTTTAATATTTTTTATAGGTGCACTGCAATGAGAATATGGCATGCACCAAATTTCATATTCATACAATTTGTATAAAAAAAGCTAAAAATAAAATACTGAGACATCGAATCTAAAATCAAATGGTAGCTCTTATCTATCGGCTGGGTGGTAGAGAAAACATAGATATATTGCGGAAGGGCAACTATAGAAACATTTCCCATTTTGTCATTTTCTCAATAAAAAATAAATAAATAAGATCTTTTTTTAAAAAAAAATTTCGTTACTTTTATGTGCTTTTATTTTGAAATATTTAGAAAATTTAGCCGCACAGCCGATCGTTTGATCCAAGAAGTCGCCCAGAAGGACTCGCGCGAACCGGGCCAACACGCTTTCTCTCTCTACATTCAAGACAAACTCATCTCCTTACTTGAAGGACAAAGTCTGGCTTTCTCACTCTAGTTTCCTCCATTGAAGAAGCTTCCTAACCTGACCAGTCAACAAACCCAAACCTCTCTCTCTATTCCATCCCTACAAATACAAATCCTCACACACCAAATCGCCTCACCATTGTTCTCTGCTCCTGAAACCTCTGCAGAGCTCTCTCTCTCTCTATCCTTCTTTATACTCTCTATCCTTCTTTCTTTCTACTCTGAAGTAGCTTCAGGAACCGAACAATGGCAAAACCCATCTTCGTTTCCCTCCTGTTTCTCTCTCTAGCCTGCTCTATACTCACCCCCACCTCTGCACAAACATGTCGAAGTCAAACTTTCACTAATAACAGGGTCTACCAATCATGCAATGATCTCTCTCCGTTGAGCTCCTATCTCCATTGGAATTACCACTCTGCGAATAATTCAGTGGACATAGCCTATAAAGCCCCGCCTGCTGGTTCTAATGGATGGGTGGCTTGGGCCCTTAACCCTCTTGGTTCAGGAATGCTAGGTGCTCAAACTTTGTTCGGTGTCATGCAACAAGATGGAACTGCAGTCGCTTATACTTGTCCTATAGGGAGGAACAATTACAATCCAACTATTGAGAATCAAACTTTGAGTTTCGATGTTTCGAATTTGTCGGCAGAGGCTTCGAATGGAGAGATTACGATCTTCGCAAGCATCGCGTTGCCTTCTTCAGGGAGTATTAACCACGTCTGGCAAGCAGGGAGCTCGGTTTCGGGGATAATTGCCCAAAGTCATTCAACAACTTCCACTGCGAATCGTAATTCGAAGGGGTCGATAAATTTTGCAACAGGGGCAGGAACGGCAACAAGCGGGGATTCAAGGATAAAGAGGAGAAACGTAAGCCCTGCTCTTTCTATCTCTAGGAATTCCCTCTCTCCATCTATCTTCTTCACTGAAATCTTCTTGATTTCCTTTTCTTGAATTCTGTTTTGGGAATTTAGCCTCTCTCTCTCTATCTCTCCTCTCAAAATCATCTGCCCTTTGTCTGTAGATTTGCACAGAACTGAATTTTTTAAGCTGAGGTTTGAATTCACATTTCTTAAGAAAAATCAACTATATTAATTGCACTATTAGTTTTATTAACTTCTTAGATATTCAAACATACAATTATTTCTCTCTCTCTATCAATCTCTCTTTCTCAGATGAAAAAAATTATGATTTAATTGTTTTCTTATTTGGGTTTTGAAAATGGTAAATTGATCTTTGTTTATGGTGTTCTTAACCCAAAAAAAAAAAATCAACTTTAGGAAGTGGAAATCAGGCCTGATTAACTGGTCTTTCATGAAACTATTGCTGTAGTCTCGTGAATTTCTGACTCTGCTTTTTTAAACTGAACTTGATTTGGGAAGTCATGGTTGTTTATCTGTTCTGGAGAGCTATAATATCCTGGTTTTCTTCTTCTTTCTATTGTGGCTTTTTTTTTGTTTTTAAAGTGGGTGTCTAAAAATAGAAATTTTGATTTGGAGTGATCAATATATAATTGTTCCTCTATATTCTTAAACTAAATAAGATTCCTATGTCTTGTCTTATTTTTTATCATGAAAAGGATATAAACGCCCCTCTACCATTGTAATCCCAAATTATCTCCTGATCCTATAAAATATTTCATGAAACCTCCTAAATTAAATAATAATTACTTCTTATTATTTTCATTGTCCAAATTACATAATTTATTCATCTTTTTTCATTAAACACCCTGTTATCTAAATTGCAGAAAAACTTATCCTCTTTCGCTTTCTTCATCACCGGTGGTAAACATCCTTTCTTTTCTTCTGTTTTTTTTTTTTTAACTTGAGGATTCTAGGGGCTTTTTGTAGGAGTGGGGGTTCTTTGGGATAATAATTTTCGAGAGGGTATACGTATTTTCCTGCTTTTATTTTTATCTCAGAATTAGGTTAGCAATTTACCAGTGTTATGGGACTCGATGGAGTCTACTTGGACTCGTACTCTCCCGAGCTCCCCTGTTGCCTCAAGTTGTATATACAACTTGGAGTACATACAGAGTATTAAAAAACTTACCAGAAAGAAAAAAAATATGGGATTGTTTGAATTTTCTATATAAAATTTGAAATTATGGATTTCATTGGTGAAATTGGTCAGGTTATTTATTTATTTATTATTTTTATTTTACCATAATCCCATTTTTATATTTTATTTTTTATGTTTTTAAAAGTATCTCCATTTATAAATCACATTTATTTTAAATCTGTTTTTTCTATATTTTTTTGGGTAAGGTTTTTTCTATACTTTTCTCTATGGCGTTTGGCCTGTAAAGTACTCGGCCGAGTCCACTCGGACTCATCCTGACTAACTTGCCTTTGGGCAAGGCCGAGTAACTAGCCCTAGGTGAGTTCTTAAAAACTGCAACTGCAATTCAGAGTTCCCACCATTGGTGATTAATCAAAGGAAACCAACCACATCGACTGGATTTTGGTTTTTGATTAACTGTTCAGATGAAACTAGCTTCTCGTCCCTCTCTTATGAAAATCAATACTGGTCTTCCTATAAGGATTGGAAGCCTGGTTTTTCTCAAGGATTGGATTACAGTCAAATTTCCATTTCAAATTGTTTCAGTGATGCCCTGAATCTTTCTTTTCCCACTAAACATATGTCACTTGGTTTCTCGGAAGTTAGATTTCTAGCTACAAATGGATATCGATTCGACTGACAAGAATGGTAAATTTTTTTAAAATTTCAGACCCATGGAGTGCTAAATGCCATAAGCTGGGGCATTTTGATGCCTATGGGTGCCATTATCGCAAGATACATGAGGGTTTTCAAGTCAGCTGATCCAATTTGGTTCTATCTCCACGTTGCCTGCCAAACCTCTGCATACATTGTGGGTGTTGCTGGTTGGGGTACCGGTCTCAAGCTCGGGAGTGAATCTGTCGGCATAGTACAAAACCCACACCGAAACATCGGAATTGCTCTCTTCTGTCTTGGAACCCTGCAGGTAGTTTCTCATTTGATTGCACAATTTGAATTTCTTGTTCTTGATATCTTCAGTGGAAGGTATTTTTACAGGATCAGAAATTAAACCACTGATATCCACACACTGAAAAAAGCAAGTTGTAAATTTCCTGTAATTTTTATCTGTAATTGTTTAATCAAAATGCTAAGCCTGGTTTAACCTCTTCAGGTGTTTGCATTGCTCCTGAGGCCACAAAAGGATCACAAATACCGATTTTACTGGAATGTGTACCACCACTCTGTTGGGTACACAGTTATCATCCTGAGCATCATTAACATCTTCCAGGGATTCGATATCCTACAACCCAAGAAGACATGGAAGAATGCATACATTGGAGTTATTATTGCATTAGGTGCTGTGGCTGTTCTTCTTGAGGTTATCACATGGATCGTCGTCTTGAAACGCAAGCCGAGGACTTCCTCTGAGAAGTTCCAGCATGGATCGCACACAGTTAACGGGCAAGGTAGCCAACACCAGGTGGTCTGAGAGAGAGAGACAGAGATGTTATGGCTTTGTAGATGTGAATTTGCTTCCCATTGTGACGAGCCTCTGTGGTTCTTTTGGGGCTGTGCTAGGATGGTGGAAGCTGAGATGGTAGATTAGGAGATATTCTTTTTAGAGTGAGTTTTTTTGTAGCAGCCCTTGCTTGGGTTCATTTCTTTCCTTTTTTGGTTTTGATATATGTTTTCCACATGTTACATATGTTTATTTGAGGACATTTATTCCATTAGAGAGCACTCTTCCTTTTACCCTTGAACTTGCCAATATTTATAGCTTTTCAGTGACTAAAGTTCAGAGAAACCTAAACTTATGGGTATGAAACTCTGTGGTGAATGCAAACCAGACTAGGGTTCATTCCCTTTTTTAATTCATGGTAAACCAAGAAATAGTCAAAAATAAAAACAGTGAAAAAGAAGGGCATAGTCAAAATAGGAAAAAATAGAAGGGCTTAGTCAATATAGGAAATTGATTACTCTTTGTGCTCATTTTCCATCGAAAAACCAGAGCCATACGCCAATGGAATACAAGCTAAAGGAAAAAGTTTATATAAGTTTGTAACCTTCTACTGTTGAAGTAAGGTGCACGTTAAAAATCTTACAATGGAAAGTGTTCCAGCATAGAAGAACCCTCCAATTGATCATCTCGATCTTGAGATGAATGGACATAAGGAAAAAAAAAGAAAGAATTCTAAAGTCCAAAAAATAAGTATTTTGTAACAAGTTATCCAGATGGTCTATTTTCAAAAATTTTAAGTGTTTTTTATTTGTATCATTTTTAAATTTTTAAATTTTTTATAACTTAGAATAAAAAAAGATTTTGAAACCATCTAAAGTTTTCGATGCCGAAACGAGATCTCTAAGTAAATTTTATAGGCGCACCTTACTAGAGGCAACCTTATACAAAACCTCACCCCCCTAAGCTAAAAGATTGGCACCTAAGGGTATGTTTCATCGTGTGAAAGCGCTTTTCCGGGCCATGGGAAAGGTTGTTTACCTGGAAGAGCTCTCCATCAACTTGAGAACTCGATTTCGTAATGAGAGAATTTTCCCAGCCAAATAATTGGAGCTGCAAAATTTTTATGTTTTTATATTAAAAGCTGGGAAGTACTTCACAACAGCCATATGGCTAACACTTTCCCAGAAAGAAATCCAGTAAAAACAACCCAGCAGTCCCTTAAACAAACAAGCCTTGAGAGTTATTTTTGTTACTCTCTCCAAAAGTTACTTCAATTGGCTGAGTACCTCATGAAACTTTTTCACATCTCTAGAACAAAGAGCACAAGACTGATTATTAACTGTTACCTTATGGGGAGCTTATTTACTAATTAGGCATGAAATAAGTATCTTAAAGAAGCAATACTGAGGCTGAAATGTGAAGCTCATGATATTAGCTTTATAGGCTAAAACCAAAGTACCATTTGACCACATGTCAACCTAGAGTAGGTTTAGAGAATGTAATCTGCAAGGATACTGAAAGGTAAGAGTGGTTGAACAAAAATGGGCAAAATTTGTATGAATTATGGGTGGGAAATAAGTTGTTGGGTACTAAATATTTGTATGAATCATGGATGGGAAATAAATTGTTGGGGGATTGAATGTCACCCCAATACCAGAAAAGGAAGCAAGCTCTAATAGGGAACAATTTCATTTGTGTAAAGGCCCCAAACTTCAGATCTGGAATTCACCAATTGAGATACATATTAGAAAATAGTATGTATGTTTAATGGATGCCTTCATATATCTCTTCACTAAGAAAAAAAATTTCACTTGACCGACAACACTTAGGGCCTGTTTGACAACTGGAAGTTGGTTGTTATCTAGAATTTGGAAGTTACTTCTCCCTGTGAAGCTAGATGTTCTGGCTCCTAGTACTGAAAGGTATTGTGTTTGGTAAGTTGTCTGAAATTTAGAGGGAGCCTGGAAACCTATGTTTGGTACCACCTAGAAGTTATCAAACCTGGAGACCTGATAGTTAACCAATTTAATCCGTACATAGAAGAATTTGTATTTTGAAGTAATATTGATTTTTTAACAAAAATCTAATAGGTCATCCAAAATAGATCAAGCAAGAAGAATGGATTTGTACGTTACTAAATGGTTTTATAATGATTCATTGTATAATTATTTATGTTTCCTAATTAATTATATCCAAAAAACCTCTTTTATCCAAGCTCCTTGCATACGAAATACAATTCTTAGTGTCAATTCAACTTATAAATTAATGTTATACGCATCAAATTGGATTTTTAAGGACTTAGAGACATACATGAAAGCTTGGGTTAATGTATGAGGCAAGATTTGCTTCATTTGTTAATATCAATATTAATTTTCTGCATCATATATTCCAAATTACGACGAACATTTAGATTGAATATCCCAAATTTCATGGTTAACTATTCTACAAAATATTTTGTCACTAACCATTAATCAAATACGCTATGAAGGTCCCATATCACCAATATATGGTTCTCAAGTGTAGACAAGCCATTACCGACTGAAGGAGTTCCAGGTAGCCAAGACTTCGAAAAACTTAGAGTATAGGCCTAAACCTTTCCTAGACCAATCCCTAACCACAACCCTAAAATTCTCCCCACTAAGAACCCATTTATAAATTGAAAACATCCCAACAGACATAACAGGGCACGTGGCATGAAACTGCCAAAATTGTGGGGTCCACTATGTCTGTGTAACAGCTATTTACGCATGCATAATACTGTGTTTCGCAAGAGATCTACGGCCCAGATTGAGTCGCCACTTGCAAGAGCCGTTATCTAGGTTCTAGCCTATAAATATAAACCCTTAGCTATACGGTATAGGGGCCCGGAGTGTAGAGAATTAGGTGAAGCCCTACTACTCTACGCACTGAACCCTGAATCTTTGGAAACCCTAAAGTTACTAACCCCAATTTCCCTTCTCATAGATCTTTGAGCCTACTTTGAACCTCTGAAACCTTATCCTAAGCCAATAAATACCACCAAGCCGATCAAATCAAAAGACTCTTGGTTACACCCATGGACCCTAGGCTTGATATCCAGTTCAAGTCTAAGTTAGCACCCACTAAATCTTAACACTATTCAATCCCAAATGGCAAACTCTAAGAGGCCAAAGAGGTCGGTGCACAATCTCAAATCTAAGCCAGACCACCAACTCCGGGTGTCATGACTGTGGGCCTGGTTTCAAGTAAGTTCATCATTTTTTATTTTTTCTTTGGATTTTATTTTATTTAGTATAATTTAGCCCTAGTTCCCTATTCCAAAATCATTTTCTAAATCTCTCCCCTTGTTTGCGAATTTTCGACCGCATCGTCCCATAAGTCGGTAACCACCGGTGGTTTGTGAGAGAGAGTGGTCAGTGGCATACTCCAATCTCTACCTCTGATCGACTATGTTCCCATTCGAAGGTGCTTGGCATCGCGGTCAAAGAGTCGTGCCATGGCTCGCCGCCGTCGGGCGTTGTTGTGAACATCAAGTATACAAAGATAATGAGAGACTTTTATTGGTATATGATTTTTTTTTTTTAACGATTCACATGGTTGTGCCACAATTGGGATTTCATCTCGCAATTGTACTCCTTAGACATGGTCCTCAATAATACTTTGAGTTGCTACTGGATCACCGTCATCTACCTCATTGGTTATGATCTCAAAAATTCGTTCTCGAAATTGCAGCTCAAGCACACCATCCACTCCTCTCATCATCGTGATAAAGTTGTGCAAAACAGCCGTTGAAATTACTATTTTGACTTCTGTGTTGAATGGATAATGAAATTGCTTCTTTAGCATTGGAAAGAATGCTTTCCATAAACCAAAAGTTCGCTCAACAACATCCCTTAGAGATGAATGGACTTTATTAGAAAATTCTTTGGCGTCATGAGGTGCCCCATTGCCGATCTTAAAATTACTTATATGGTAGCGAACCAATCTGTAGGGAGCAAGGAAACCCCACATGGTTGGATAGCCCCCATCCACAAGATAGTATTTTCCTGCACAAGTTGGACAAACATGGTCAGTTACTTAACTACTATCATGTTATAAATAAGACCTACAAAATTGAGAGGCATTGTTAATCGACCGGTCTCTCTTTCCAAAGCATCGTATAAGATCTTGGAGTCCGATGCAGATCCTTCATGTCTTGCAAGTATATACTGGAATTGCAAATCGAAGCCCACTACAGCCATCGTATTTTGGGATAATACACCTTTCCTATTCCGAAATCGTCTATGCATGTGGCTCTTAACCCACGCTGGGATTGAGTTCCATCAATTGCGCCTAGGCAATCCTGATAGAAAATGCAATGAATTTTTTAGCTGTTGTAATGAAGATTTTTTTGTTAAAATTAGTGCTACCAATTTTGCAATGAATTTTAAAAAGTGAATACTATTAGTTACCTTGAAATATGGGTCATATCTTTCGTTACCAGCTATGTGAGCTGGTGTTTCTGTCCTTGGAGGCCATAAAAATATTTTTCCTATAGCCAAAACAACCCTCAGTACTTTATTGAAATGATAACTAATAGTTTGCCCAGAGTGCTGGAAACGAATTTGTGTCATCCTATTACATTTGTCATGTGTAACAGTACTTATGAATATCGCTACTTGACACAAATCTAGTATTTTGCAGTGTGCTTCTGTCTCTTAAAAGCCTACAAAGTTCAATGAATGCAGACGTTCCATATGCAATAGATCAAAGCAATTCTGCTCATGTCCCTCTAACATATAGGCAACAAACTCTGACCCTGTGAATGGAGCAACGTGAACTCTCTTCCTCATTAAATATGCATTGTAGTATCAAAAGGTCACACAACACACGACATATAAACCACATAGCATTGCATTGAATCTAAGCCGCTCGAAATGATCCATATCATCTATAATTGAAAATTAAAGTTGAGAGGACATATATAAGTTCAAAGAGGAAAATTTTACATTCTAGAAATACAAAAATATAAACACATTAGTCAATCATTTGTCATCAAATAGATAATATAACATTTTATACAAATGAAAAAACAAAATGGTAATGTCATATTTTCACCGTATAGAATTACATATACATATACACCACACATAAGCATAACGTTAAGTATTTTCATTAAAAGAAGAAGGTCTCGTTACATCAATAGGAAAACTACTCCAAGGCATGAAGTTCGTTCATCCATTCATATATAGGTCAAGACAAAAAAAAAATGAGTGCTTAGACTGCCAAAAGTAAACTTTTATGAGTCCAAATAAAATAAAATAAAATAAACCCAAAAAAAAACTTCACACCAAAATATTAATTTGCCATTTGTTTCATCTCCTCCTCTTAAAACGCCCCTCGGCACTCAGACGGCAAGGCTAGGAACATATGAACTTTAGATGTACTTTGGAAAATACTGGTAGCCTTCAAGATGGCTTCTAAGCCTACCTCCCCTTTCTCATATAGCTCGTCAACAATATCCATGCATTTCTTCATCTTTATCTCAGGTCGAATGGGAGCTCGGAGACTCATCATCTCTGTCATAGTTTCCATCAATTTAGTTAAACTTGAGCCACTTGTTCAGTAAGAGTGCTTTGCCTTTTCTTTTGAGACACCTCAGAGGGAGTATAAGGGCGGGGCCTCTTATATTGCCTCGATGATGTTCTACGAGCATTGCTTGGGGTGGATATATCGTTATCCTCATCACTAGTATCTAAGTGAGGAGACTCTATTAGTGAATCATTCAATTCATAGGGAGGTGCATTATCATCGGTGCCTCTGTCAACCAAAGTCTCACAATGCCTCCCATCAATAACAATGTCTCCAAATATTTTGTCCAGCTCGTTAACATCATGAGCACTCTTACCTCTAAACTTGCCAGCCCATGGGTAATCCTGCGAAGTTACAAACATGTACAACTAAGAATTCTAACTATCTAAAAGATTAACTTCTATAAAAGGATACCAGTGATACAATAAACTAACCTTTATATATTGATCCTAAAGTTCATTCTCTGCCGTCACCATACCTCTCAGTGGATCCCTTCCAAAGCCAGTTGACCGGATCATTTTCTTCAGCTCAGAGTACATTTTTCTAATCAATTTGTGCTTGTTTTCCATTCTCTCACGGTCGAATGATTCACCATACAAGGCCACCATCTTAGCATTCATTGTTGCGAAGCAATGTCCTTCCCTTCTATGTATGAATCAAAGGTAAGAACATAGCCACAGTATATGTTTATGCAAATACTGAAAATGGGCAATTTGCTGAGTGCCTACAAAAATAGAAATCACAAATCACAAAAAAAATGAAAAGAAAGTTCCACCAAGCACAATCACAACACAAGATTTAATGTGGAAAACCCTTCAATGTGAGGGAAAAACCACAGGACAAATTCGAAAGAGGAATCCACTAAAAACAAATCAGGGTTACAATATAGTTTCTTCTCAAGTTTTTGCCCAAAACTTGAGGCTTACAATCAAATGAGAGAACAACAATAACTTAGAGAAGATATAAAATTACCTCATAAGCACCAACAAGATCATCTCTTTCCCACCTCAAAAAGGCCAAAAAAAATTGGTCTTCCAATGGCTTGGAGATACCACCGAAAGGCACACCAACTATTCCGGTTTTTCAGCTGAGTGTCTCCAAAACAAAACCCTTTTTGTTTTATCTTTTTAAAACACCCTCTACGTTCTCTCTCTCTCTCTCTAACCCTTTCTTATTTTGTTGGTTTTTTGTTTTTCTTTTCACTCCTTTATGAGGCTGGATCCCACAAGGTAATCACCCAACAAACTCCCCCTCCAGACCCATGAGGAGGGCTCCCCCATACTGGATGCTCACATGGCACCTATGCCTGCCAAAGCTCTGTGTCTTCGTCATCATGTCTAACAGATTCTGGTCGGTATGTATTTTGTAAATCTTCATGAACCTATTTTCTAAGACATGTCGAATCCAATGGTACCACACCTCAATGTGTTTGGTTCTAAAGTGGAATGCAGCATTCTTGCTCAGATCAATAGCGCTTTGACTGTCACATCTAACTACATACTCCTTTTACTTCAAACCCAACTCCATAAGAAAACTTTTCAACCATAGCATCTCCTTACAGGCTTCTGTGGCAGCAATATACTCTGCCTCTGTAATCGAGAGTGCAACACATTTTTGCACCTTTGATTGCCAAGAAATTGCTCCTCCTGTAAACGTAAACATGTAACCCGAAGTAGCCTTCCACCAAAGGTGATGAGTTTCCAAAACATAGACAAACTTTAGATGCGCTTCTTAGATACCTTAGAATCTATTTTACAGCTTCCCAATGTTGTTTGCCTAAATTTACCAAGTATCTGCTAACTACGCCGGTGGCATGTGCTATATCAGGCACTGTGCACAATATAGAGTACATCAAACTTCCTATGGCTGAAGTATAGGGGATCTTCTCCATTTCTTTCTTCTCTTCACTGCTGGTTAGAGATAACTTGAAACTCAACTTGAAGTGTCTAGCTAATGGTGTATCGATTGGCTTGGTATACTTCATGTTGAATCTTTCAAGTACCTTCTCAATGTACCTTTCTTGAATTTGCCACAACTTTTTGTTCTTCCTATCACGCTTGATTGTCATGCCCAAAATTTGTTTTGCAGCCCCTAAGTCCTTCATGTCAAAAACATTGTTCAATTCTTTCTTCAACCTGTCAATCAAATTAGCATCTTGACTAACGATAAGCATATCATCAACATATAACATGAGAATAATAAACGAAGATTAGAATACTTTCTAAGGTAAACACAGTGGTCTATAGTGGTTCTCGTAAACCATGACTCATCATTAAATAGTCAAATTTTTTGTACCAGCCGTGGAGCTTGCTTCAATCCATACAAGCTCTTCTTTAACTTGCATAACATGTGCTCCTTGCCCTTCACTAGGAAACCTTCTGGTTATTCCATATATATTTCTTCCTTTAGATCTCCATGCAAGAAAGTTGTCTTGACATCTAACTGCTCAATCTCCAAGTCTTGACTAGCCGGTAGGCCTAGGATGGTGCGAATAGAAGTCATCGTCACAACGGGAGAAAAGATTTCATCAAAATCAACACCCTTTTTATGCCCGAATCCCTTGACAACCAGCCTTACCTTGTACCTCATTTTCTTCTTGTCATCTTCAATTTTCAACCTAAATACTCACTTATTCTTCAAAGCTTTTCGTCCTTTTGGTAGCTCAATAAGCTCATAGGCTTTATTCTTATGCAAGGACTCAAGTTCTTCTTGCATGACTTTCTTCCATTGTTAATTTTGCTTATGTACCATAGCTTCTTTAAAACTTTATGGTTCACCATTTTCAGTGAGTGTAACATACTATAATGATGGATATTTTGTTTAGGTTTTTCGTTCCCTTTGTGACCTTCTCACCATAGGTCATTCTTCTTGAGGAGGCTGCTCCCCCTGCTCAACATCATCATGTACATCATCATTTTGAGGAGTCTCGCCACCTCAAACTTGGCCATCTTCATCTTGAACTTGCTGCCCATCATCATTATGTATGGGTAAAAGGGCTTGTGCTTCTAGTAGCTCATCTACAAGCCTCTTTGGCAGTTCCTCCTTATCAAAATCGAAAAGTGTTTGGTTTTCACGAAAGATCACATCTCGGCTTCTATGCAGCTTCTTAGCCTTGGGATCCCACAACCTGTACCCAAATTCATCATCTTCATAACCCAGAAATACACATTGGGTTGCTTTGTCATGTAACTTACTTCGATGCTCTTTAGGTACATGTATGAAAGCCATACATCCAAAGACTCTCAAGTGTGAGTAGGATACATCCTTGCCGGTCCACACTCTTTATGACACATCCCCTTCCAATGAAGCCAAATGAGATAGATTTATCAAGTAGCATGTCGTATTCATAACTTCACCCCAAAACTCATTTGCTAACTTAGCTGAGGAAAGCATGCTTCTAACCTTATCCATTATAGTACGATTCATTCTTTCTACAACACCATTATGTTGCAGTGTGGAAAGAACAGTCTTCTCATGTCGTATGTCATGTTTGGCACAATAGTCCTCAAACTTCTTTGAGGTTTACTCTCCACCATTATCTGTGTAAAGGCATTTCAAGGACTTTGATGTTTGTCTTTCAACTATGATATGAAACTTTTGAAAAATTCAAATACTTGGTCTTTGCTCTTCATGGCAAAACTCCAAACTTTCATGGATGCATTATCAATGAAAGTGACAAAATACAAAGCACCACCAAGAGTTTTCACAGTCATAGGGCCACATACATCGGAGTAAATAAAATCAAGTATTTCAGTATCCCGTTTAGTTTTAGCATGTGAAAAGGAAACTCTATGATGTTTTCCTACTAAACAATGATCACAAGGAGTTAAGGACATACCTTTTAGACTTGGAAAAGAATTTCTCTTCGTCAGAATCTCCAAACCTTTCTCACTCATGTGACCAAGTCGTTGATGCTACAAGGCAGATAAAGATACTTCAAGGGCAGTGTTCACCTCTCCTTTGGACAGTTGTTCAGTCTTGTAGAGAGAGCAGCTTTTCTTGCTTCTTGCCACAACAAGATAGTCTTTTTTCAACTTCAACACTCCATTGCCAAACTGTGACTCATACCCTTCATCATCAAGCATTCCTGTTGATATGAGATTCAATCTAACGTCTGGAACATATTTCATATCCTTGAGGACCAACTTGTAGCCAGTATTGGTAGTAATGCAAACATCACTCATTCCAACAATTTTAGATACTTTATTATTTCTCATCCTTATCGAACCAAAGTCTCTCGACTTGTACATGGTAAAGAAATCTCTGTATGAATTAGCATTGAATGATGCTCGTGAATCAATCACCCAATTTGAATCATCACATGCTGCACTAACACAACCTTCACCACACGTCAAGAATATTATAATGTCATCGGAGGCAACTGCAATGGTTTCCTGATGTTCTTTATTTCCATCACCACATTTTCCTTCTTTTTGATTTCTTTTGAATTTCCGACACTCCTTCTCCATATGTTTGGGCTTATTGCAATAGTAACACGTCACTCCTTTTCTCGACTTGGATCTCCCTTTTGATTTGTTTCAATTATGATTTTCTCTATTCTTCGGTCTCTCCCATTCTTCAGTGACTAATGCGTGTGAGTGGGAGGAATTTGAAGATTTTCTTCTCATCGCTTCATTCAACAAACTACTTATAACTTGGCTCATGGTAACAATCCCATCGGATGCCGAGTTGCTAAGGGATACAACGAGCGTCTCCCAAGTGTCAAGTAATGAGCTCAATAATAACAATGCTTGCAACTCATCATCTAGCACCATTTTCATAGCCGCCAACTGATTTACAATGGTTTGTGTTTCATTCAAGTGCTCCGCAACCAATCTGTTCTCCTTAAACTTTAAGTTTACAAGTTTTCTAATTAAAAATGCCTTATTTTCGGCTGTCTTTTTCTCATACAAATCATTTTATTTCTTCCACAAGGACATTACATTAGTTTTTGTTGATACATGGTGGAACACAATATCATCCAACCATTGTCAGATGCAAGCCATTGCTTTCCGGTCTAACTTCCAATCATCATCGGTGATGGTTTCCGGCCTCTTCTCTATCCCCTCAATTGGCAAATAGAGGTCTCTATAATAAATAAGGTCTTCCATCTTGGCCTTCCAAATTGACCAATTACCCCTATTCAAACTAATCATCCGTGTAAAGGTATTTGCATCCATCTTTGATTCACACACGAATAAAAACAAACATTTGATGTGCAAATGCTCTGATACCAGTTGTTGGGATGCAATGCCATTCCCTTTTATGTGTGAATCAAAGGTAAAAACATAGCAATAATGTATGTTTATTCAAATACTGAAAATGGGCAATTTGCTAAGTGCCTACAAAAAAAGAAATCACAAATCACAAAAAAAATGAAAGGAAAGTTCCACCAAGCACAATCACAACACAAGATTTAAAGTGGAAAACCTTTCAATGTGAAGGGAAAAACCAAGGGATAAATCCGAGAGAGGAATCCATTAAGAATAAATCAAGGTTACAATATAGTTTCTTCTCAAGTTTTTGCCCAAAACTTGAGGCTTACAATCAAATGAGAGAACAACAATAACTTAGAGAAGATACAAAGTTACCTCACAAGCACCAACAAGATCATCTTTTTTCCACCTCAAAAAGTCCCAAAAAAAATGGTCTTCCAATGGCTTAAAGATACAACTAGAAAGCACACCAACTGCTCCGGTTTTCCAACCGAGTGTTGGGCGTGAGAGATAGCAAAAATGGCATTTGGATGGCCTGAGAATGGTGATGGAAATCTTGCTACAAACATGCACTCTCTTCTCTCCAAAAGCCTTCAAAGAACCCTATCTTTGCTTGCAAAGAGTGTCTCAAAAAAAAAACGCTTTTTGTTTTGTCTTTTTAAAACACAATCTATGTTCTCTCGCTCTCTCTCTAACCCTTTCTTATTTTGTTGGGTCCTTTTGTTTTTTTCTTTTCACTCCTTATGGGGTTGGACCCCACAAAGCAATCACCCAACACTCATCTTATCACAGTTTTTTTGCTGGAAGCCCACAGGAGGTCCCTTTTTCTTCCCAATCTTATGTTGGCTATTAGTTTCTCTATTCTTTTTGACCTCTACCATAAATTGAATGAAAGAAAGTTCTCGAGTAGTACTCTACTGAGAATTTTTTTGGGAACTACTCTTAGGTGTTGAAGTTGGAGGCATAGTTGAAGGTTGGGTCTCCATGCCTATGAAATTTAGATATCATATATCAACCATTCCAAAGATTCAATAGAACAAGATACCATAGAAAGATCATTACAAAGAATAATCACACTTATATGTCCCATTTACAAATGCACTTCAAGTTCTTCCAAATGAAAACCCCGACCCCGACCATGGTACCATCATTCAGCACAACAAGATTGCCTTACCCCATTATCAGATTGTGTTACCCCAGTTTAGACTTCCTATAATTATACAAGGCTCACCATATCAAAGATAATATACAATCCCCTTTTATTTTATTTATTTGGGGCACATGAGCAATGTCAAGGGTGTTTGAGGCCTTACAATAAAAGAGCAAATATCAAGTATGTGTTTCACATTAGAAGACAAATCAAATTTTATATCACACCAAGGTAGTAAATGCATTAATTGCAATCAAATATGAGCAATAATAATAATAATAATAATAATGAACAAAATAAGTCTTCTATCTTCTGTGACGCTTCGTCTCTCCTTTTTTTTCTTTTCTTTTTTTAATAGAAATTTCAACAATATATAAGGCAACAGAATAGCACAATATGTATTCAAAGATGCGATATATGTTTAGAGTGATTGTTTCTCTCTAACATAGAAGTCTACCTTAGAATAATAAATTATCCTTCCATCGTTTTTATTAATATCACTGTATAATAGCAAGTTAAGATATATATGCTAAGTCAACTGAATATCGTGTTACCAACTAGCAAAAACAAGTTTTATCAATTTGCAATCTCTAATCAAATGAAAAAAAATAGGATCAAAACAGTAGCCTATGGGCACTTGGTTTTATTGTTATATGAAATGTAGAGAGAGAGTAAAGAAGGTCGAGGGAGGAAAAAAAAAAAAACCCTCCCGTAAGAAAGTCAAAAGACAAGTGGTAAAGTTGAGTTTTATGCAAACATAGCCACACAACCAATTTATTTTATATTCTTTTTAGCCAAATTTGGTTATGTCAACAAACTACTATTTACAGAGCAGCACGCTGAAACAGTTGAGCATAAGAGATCTGTAAATTACTTACGAAAGCTTTCTGGAACCTGATCGTGGATAAAAAAAAGTTGATTGGGCTAAAGATCTACAGTAGATAAAGATGAAGATGGGATGAAAAATACCCAACGAATTAAGGCCAAGAGGTAACCCATTATTTGTCAGTACGGCTGCCGATACAACTCATTAGGGTTTGAGGTGAGAGAAAGAAATAAACAAAACGATAAGAGAGACTTGAAAAAAAAAAAAAACAATATATATACTCCTTTTACTCTTATTTTGTGGTTGAAAAGGTACACAAAGTTCTTTGACGATTGGGCTAATGAATCAGCGCATAGAAGACCCAGTAGTGGTATATTCACGACGGATAAAAAATTTATCGTGCGTGCATGAATAGAGAAGAAAGAAAATTCACCATGAATAGTATATAAGAGAGATGGTAAATAAGAGAAATTCTACCAAAAAAAGGTTAATGGACCTGATGAACCTGGATTGCTCCTAGAGGTAACGACAATTAATAAAGAAATGAATAATGGACGAGAGAGTAAGAGATTGACCTAAATTTTGCAGAGACAAAACGGTAAAGTAAATAAAAAAGCACGAAAGTAGACATCAAAACTGTGTAAAAATATAGAAATAGGTCATGAGGCAAGCTTGAGATCCATACCTGAAATGCTTTAAAACCCTCAAATCACTGGTTTTTCGCTGTGAGATCAAAGACATTGGAGAAGGGGAAAAGAGGCGAATAGAGACACTTGACTAAATGGGTGAAGTTGGAGAGGGAAGAAAGGGAAAACAAAATAAACAAGAGAGGTTGCACATGTGAAGTGACAAGAAAAAACTTTCAAGCGGCATGTGATCTACGCTCCTTAAGCTTCGTTTTCCATGGGGAGGGTGGGAGAGGCACAATCCCAATTTTTGAGGATGGCGGGCTTCTTGCATCTTAAAAAAAATATTAACCCAAATATGTGGGTTAGAATTTGGGATGCCCAACTGCTCTAGTTCCAATTGTAAAACGTACCCTTAATAAATTTGATCAGCATCTTTACAATTGAATTTGCCTGTGTGACCACCGGTCCATATCGGGTGGATTTGTGACCCAAAACGATGGGAATCAGGCATAGGGATGGCAATCGGGTCGAGTAGACCTAAACGGGTCTAGGTCTACCCGGCCTTTGGGGGTCAACCCGATCGAGCATACAACACATAAAATAAATAAAAAATATATATTATACAATACATACAAAAAACTAATTTTCTTAATTTAATTTTAGACCTGAGTTCGGACCCAAATGACTTAAACCCAAAGTTGAGGCCGAATCCAAGTCACTTTAACCCGGCTAAAGTCCGGGTGGAGACATCAGACCATTCCAAGGGTCACCCTAGATCATTAAGTGTAGACATCAGGCCATTCCAAGGGTCACCCTAGATCATTAAGTGTAGACATCAGACGATTCAACGGGTCATCCTAGATCCCCCACCCACCGGACCCATTCCAGATCCCCCGATTTTTATACACAAACGTTCATTAAACGCAAAATTATCTAATTAACCACAACAAGAGGCTTGTAGCAACTGTTATAACAAAGAATATCAAGTTTTAGGGTGAACTTAGTCTCATGCATTGAGATGTATCAAAGTAAATTCTAGGAAAAAATAATTAACTGTTCTTGATCATATCTATGTAGCCCATTTTATGTCAAAGCAGAGTTTTTCAATATGCATGCAATAAGAGCATTTACATTTATATGCAAATGCAAAAAATGTCCTAACAACATCTGAACATTATCTCAACCATTCAAAATATCAACTGTACAAATCATGTTCCACCATTCCGCTCCCATTCCGCTCTATCAAGGGCTCTGCCCATCAGTTGGGAATAGGGTTGAGGTTATGGTAACACTACATGAGCCTCAACTGCCCTAGCTTTTCATTTCCACTGCACGCATTCGAAAACCACCAACTATTTCTAAAACTGTCGAAAACCACCAACTATTTCTAAAACCGGTAGGGATATGCATTCCCCCAATCTACCCAAAAAAAAAAAGCTCTACTCTCAATCATTCACCATATCTCTTCTCACTCCTGTTCAATTCAACTACACACTACTGAACAGAAAGTTGATGATTTATTTGTCATACTGTTTATCTCGCAAATACAATCATGGCATACAAACTCAATTTTCAACCCCTTCAGGTTAATGATGCTGTTCATCAGGTAGCTACCTCAAAATATAACTGAGCAATGATATCTCCTAAACTCTCCCACCCTAGTAAATATTACAAGTACACCCTAAAAGGGCAAAAGTTAGTAACGCCATGGGTCTAAGGAGGCTGGAAATATCCAAATTTTTGGATAAAATTGGCAATCTTTGTCATTAACTTCGCACATCTAATAATAAAAGAAACCAAAATAGCAACATTCAACATTCCATCCACAAACAAAGTAGACATACAAAAATTCACTTAAATGGCAATAGACAAAGTCTGCTTGAGCCAACATTCTCAATATCCGCAACGAACAATCATCACTGACGAAAATTTTCCTAAAACAAAAAAGCAAAACAAGTGCGAGAACCATAAGTTTATAAGCAAGGCATGAGTAATTTAGGCAGAAGCTCCCTTCCCCTTCTTCCTCTGGATCTTCTTCATATAGAACTCTAGCTCCTTACCCTCCAAGACGTATCTGTCAAAGCACCACAATAACACAATCAATAAATTACAAAATCGTTCACCAAAGCATATATTGGAATATAATGAATCCCAGTATGCCAAGTTAACCAAAAGTTAACAACAAAAAATACCCCTTGTCCTTCATTGCATATTTTTTCTTTTAGGGAAGGGGTACATTTTGTTAGTTGTCCGGGGCAACAGTGAAAATAAACTATAGATGGCTAACATTCAAATTTTCCAAGGCAAGGAACACATCTACTTCCAACCCTCTCATACAATTAAGTATGACGCGTCACTAAACAAATTATTCTCAGATTGTCATCATTATCCCCATAAAACAAAGCATCTTCCCATCCAAGATGATTAGCACTAAATTGGAGGTGCAATTTCTGACCAAAACTTTGGATGAAGGAATGCATGCTTCACCACATTTAAACATCCCATAAGGATATGAAGCACCCAAAAGGGAAAGAGAGATGGACGTTTCTAATTACCCATCAGCTCGTCCACATTGTCCAGGGCGAGACGAGATGCATGCCAATAGTCTGCCACCACCAAACTGTTCTTCAATGTGTGGGTCAAGTTTGTGACCCTCAAGACGCTTTTCCAGCTTCCTTTTAACATGGTCACTCTTTTTCACCTCCTCTGTAGCACCCTCAGCTTCCTGAAACAACATGAAATTATTGATTTGTAATAGACAGTTCTAATTCATTGAAGATCCTCTGAATAGTTGGTACGAATGCAAAAGCATATACAATGAGCATCATCCATGTAGGGGACAGTACACAAGAAAAGCGCTCATAAGTCAAAGCATAAGACACGGAAGAGGGTATAAATACAAGAAAGCAAGTTGACGATGTTATGAGAACTTTATATATTAACCAAGAAAGACAAAACCTATTTCATGTAAAATAACTACACAAAATGAGGCAAGAGATATAATAATGCACTTCACTTTTTCTACAAGTAATTTTACCATAATCGAGGTCCTTGCATGAAGTCTACAGTTTGTACAGCAGAGGAAGGAAACTATCCATAACTACAATTGAAGACAACCCTAAAACACAATAAAATGTCTTATTTTTCTTTCCCTGTGGGAAAGGATGCAATCATCCAATTATTCTCAGGATTTTAGCAACATCATCAAAAGAATCTCTGATAAGCCAGCCAACCTGGAGTTGGAACATGGTAACTATCCCTCAAATTCTTACAACGTGGAAAACGGATCATAAACAGCTACATCTGTTAAATTCTGGCATACTTTAGCTATGAAAATGATGTCTCAAGGCACAAGAGCTCCTTCATATGCATAATGATTATGAAGTGCTCAATAATCTAGCAGTGAAGAACAATCACCAGGTACATTTTTTAATCCTAGAACTTTCTCAATTGGATGGCTGAAGCTCGGGCCCTCACCAAGCAGGGCTTGTGTTCAAGGTACTATAAAGAGTGCATGTTGTCAGAAAGGAAAAGAAGACAGCTTGTTTCACTTGCATTCAATTCCCTGTAACCACTATAAACTCAATGATGCATTAGTACAATATGATCGTAACTTCTCATCCAGCTGGTTAGTAGCTTGTCATCTAGACAGCCACGATCCACTTAGCAAGGTCAGGGATGAGCAGATTTAGATGCTAGAGATTGCCCAATCAAGGAAGTGAGGGGATAACATACAGTAATATCACTAGACGTCAATGTGATTTCCAAGTAGAAAGAAAAGCATTGTAAATTCTAAACCCTCGACTGGAAGAAACCCATGTTTGTGACTGAAGTCAGACACAGAATGCAATGCATCACACATAATATAAAATGTAAAAACTCCTAATTAGGGAGCCTCGTTAACTCCAATATAAGCACTTATGAGGTTATGAGTGAGGAAGCAAGATTCTATGGGTCAAGCCTAACTTATCTGTCCATTACTTTTAGAGTTAATATATTCCTTATGTTACAAAACTAACTTTATGGACATAATATGGAAAAATTAAATGTGAGATGGACCCCACCATGTAACACATAATCCTGAAAAAGTAAAAAGAAGTCAAGGAGATATAATGGTCAGATAGAATATTACTAGCTTTTTTTTTTTTTTTAAAGTAAAGTTTATTGTATTTCAAAGCCAAAATTACAAAAGGTGAGGTGACCCAAGAAGGGTCACGCTATACAATTCCAGTAAGCTCAAGTAAAACAAAGAATATGCAGAAAAGGAAGGGAGCCACTCAGAAGAGTAGGGAAGGTAGAGGCCTTAGGTCCCCAAGGTCGGACAGGACGCTCCGAGCTTGGCCAACCTGTCAATTTTTTAGTTGGCCTCTCTGAACACATGTTTCCAGACAATGTTAAAATCTTTGGTGATGTAAAATAATTTCTTCAAAAATGTCATCAAGTCGCCAGGGCCAAGCTGAGCGATTAGAGGCCCAAGTGATGATATTCTTGGCATCTCCTTCCACCGTCAAGTCGTGACTCCAAGCGAGGTTCCACTTGCGAAGGTCCTCCAAAAGGGCAAGGGCCTCTGCAAGAGTGGAGTCCCCAAAACCAATAGGGCGGGAGATTGTCATCAAAATACTGCCATCACGAGAGCGAATGAGTCCCCCCTATGCCAGAGGGTCCCATGTTGCCAAGGGAGCAACCATCGAAGTTGAGTTTGAAAGCACCCTGATCTGGTGGTCTCCAAAGGGAAGCTCTCGAGAGCTTAGGAGGAGAAAATGCCCAAAAGATTGGACCAGTTACAGTGGAAATAAGAGGAAGGTACATCCTTGAACAAGGGGTTAATGGTCGCCCAAAAGGCCACAAGAGAGCAACCATCGAAGTTGAGTTTGAAAGCACCCTGATCTAGTGGTCTACAAAGGGAAGCTCTCGAGAGCTTAGGAGGAGAAATGCCCATAAGATTGGACCAGTTACAATGGAAATACGAGGAACGTACATCCTTGAACAAGGGGTTAATGGTGGCCCAAAAGGCCACAAGGTTCCTGACCTTGTCTGCCAAAAGCCTTGCCGAGGACCGCCTTCTCCTGAACATTATCTAATTTCTTTCGGTCCAAAGAACCCAAAGGGTGGCAAAAAATGGAGGCTTTCCACCAGAGCTTTCCCCCCTCCGACCAATTCAAAACATAAGTCCAAACTGTCCACGAGAATTCGCAATGAAGGAGAAGATGTTCATTAGATTCTTCATCCTCGAGGCACAAAACACATATGTTGGGAATTTGCACCCCTCTCCTTTTTAGGTGATCCACTGTAAGCAATCTCTCGTGTAAAGGTATCCAACAGAACACCTGGACCCTATGCGGAACGAAAGAATTCCAAGCTTTGGAAAACATGGGATTAATGGGGCCAGAGGCGTAGGAGGTGGAAGTGAATGCACGAAAGAAAGATGAGACCGAGAAGGCACCTGAGGGGGATGGGGCCGGGATAATTCTGTCAATGCCAAAGAGCTGAAGGAAGATAGAGTGCATTGAAGCAGCCAAAGAGAGGTATTCCTCCATCTCATGATCTAAAGGTACCCCCTAAATACAGGGGTCCAAGCTCTAGCTGATCCAGAACCAGAAAAATTGTCCACCACCGAGGAGAGATGATTGAGGACTACACGGCACAGGTTGGGGTACTGGTCCCTAAGGGGGGTCTAGCCACACCAAACGTTTATCCAGAACCTCACCTTCATCCCCTCTCTAGGTCGAAATCGAACATGTAGCGGGAAAAAAGCCACGGCTTCGCAAAATAGACCTCAAGAAGCCAGAGAGATTTTCGTTGGTCTTACATTTCAGGTGACATTTGCAGAAATCTTAATCAGGTTCCTACAAAATATGGATTATTATGGATTTCATTCAGCTCTTAGACAAACGTTTGTAAACATTTTAGTCATATCAATTCCTCTAATGGCTGTCGAAAGAACATTAACATTATGGTTATCACAAAAAGATGGTTTAAAGCCATAACTCCATTTTCACCGATGTTTAAAGGAGCAGCGAACTGGATCGGAACCCGCCAGCTTAGCTTGGGAACTGATGGGGTTGGTCCGGTCCCACCAAAATATTGGGAACCGGCCAGTTATGGCCAGTTCTCTGACAGAACAGGCTGGTTCTGATAGAGAACCAGCCCCAAGTTTTAGTTTTTAATTTTTTCAAAATTCCTTTTTTATCTCTAATTTTTTTAAAAAAATAACAGTATCAATATCACAGAATGACAGTATCAGTATCACAGAATGACAGTACGAGTATCACATAATGATAGTATCAGTATTACAGAATGTCAATATCAATATCACAAAATAACAGTATCAGCATCACAAAATGATAGTATCAGTATCACATTTTGAGTATCACAACTCACATTTCCTGCAATTTCAAGCAAATGACGTCCGTTCATAAATAAGGCCATAACTATTGATTTGTTTAGAATCCGGAGATGTTTCCAAAACCAATTTTACACTAGACACACATCTTTCAAATGGGGGTAGTTTGAAAGCAATTGGACCTCGTTTGGTTACTCGAAAGTTCATGACAACCAAAGTGATGGTTCTGAACTTTAGTAAAATCTGTCCACAGTGACATACCTTCACAAATAATGGCATATCTTTCAATCTAGGAGGAAGTTTGAGATATGCTCAACATGTAATTTCAAGAATACTCAAAGATCTTTCAAATGACAGTGGTTTAAGAGAACGAACTTCATTTGGTCAGTAAAAATTCGTGATAACAAGGACACCAGTTCTTAAAATTTACTAAATCTGTCAACAGTGACCTACGTGCACATTTTAAAGCATAATTCTTCATGCATAAAGAATTTGAGTAATATTCAAACATGAACATTTTAGTAGACGCAGATATCTTTCCAATGGCAGTGATTTGAGGTCATTTGGACCTCATTTGACTATTCAAATGCTTAATACAAAAACATGCAAGTTCCTGGAAATTCACAGTGTCACAAGGCATGCTTCAATAAACACTTAATAACTTTCAATCCACAATAGATATTAACATAGAATCAGCTCCATTTGATTTAGACATACATAGGCATGTTTCCATAGATTTTTGTGAGCAATAGACCCATTCTCAACATCAAAACTAATCATACAACAGAGGCATCAGTTCAATAGACTGGTGCATAAAATCACTATACACATTTGCTCTTTATCACATATTCCATGCTTGTAGGTATTCTCAATTTCATTCTATAAACTTGATGCAGGGGTGGTAGATCCACTTAATCAACAATTATACCTTCAATTCCTCTGTTACAGTCTTCCTCAAACTTCTTACAAGGCTCCAATAGTGAGATAGCAAAGAGCTTTCAATGACTCTAACCGTTGGCTCTTAGAGAGAGAGTGAAAATGAATGGTGAGGGGGAAGAGGGCTTAAGTACCCTATTGGCTGAGTGGCAGTCCAAAGCTGGACAAGTGGCAAGCACCACACATGCACAAGGACAAGTGGCGTGTGTGGCAACATGCATCTGGCAAGTGGCAATGACACGCACGGCGCTACACGAACAGCGCTAGTCCATTTTGCTCCATCTTACTGCTGCTTGTGAAAATTTCTTCTTCTTCTTCATATACACTCACGGTGCTGCCTCTTTCTCCCCCTTTCTCGCGCAGCATTACGCCCGTTGCGTTGCTCCTCTCTTCACAGACGGTGATGCCCCTCTCTCTTCACAGACGACGACGCCCCTCTCTCTTCA